ATTTGTAGAGGGTGTGCATTTATAGAGAGTAATTTTATAGGTGTCATTATTAGTTAGGACTGAGACATAGGGTGCAAATATAGAGGGTGTGTATTTATAGAGCGTGCATATATAGAGGTTTGACTGTATAACTATATTTATTTGCTACTTTAACATGATACATCTCAAAATATAGTACCTTGAATAAGACCCTGGATACTTAAGCAATGATCAACGGTAGTAACTTATCGCAAATCAATTATCATGAATTTTACCTCTTGAATCAATATTTGATTAAATCTTCCTTTAACATCTTTAACAGCTTTAACAGCCACATTTATCTCACATTTTTTCCATTCAGCTTTAGATATATAAAAATATCCAACATCGCTAATTTTCTCAAAATTTTTAAATTCTCCGTAATAAATTTTTGTTATGTTTTCTTTATTTATTATCTCTTCAACTCCTTTAGATTCTGGGCTCATGATGGTAAATTTTCAAGAAAATGTACGTAACAATAATAAGAATTCTATTATTAATAGATTTACTTATTTGGTACCGTACTACAATCTTAAAAAGGAAATTATATCACGTACGTACATGCGTACACACACACGCACAGAATTTATCTGTTATGGTTAAAGGTGATATAATAAGGGCTTTATTTGTTTATCGTTATCTACAATAGTATTGGGGACACAGTATCCCAGGGCATGCCTAGAAGGCATGCCTAGAGGTATACCTAGAGGCATATCCTTTCCAAAAATTTACATATATAAAAAGGGTCATACAAAAAAATTTGGGGAGGGATATACCTATACACATGCCTTTAAATCTGAAAATTCAGTGGCATGCTCAGGGGGCATGCCCAAAAAATTTTTCCGTGCACCTAACTCTAATCTACAAATATATTGCAGATCATTAGCATTGTTGTAAATAATAATAACTTTACATGAGTAGTAATAAATTTTTTCAACGACATTATCGTTATCATTGGTTAAGTGAGAAGAATCGTATCATTGGTTAGTGAGAAGCAATCGTTATCATTGGTTTTGTGAGAGGCAATCGTTAGTGAGAAGCCCTAGCTTACCAATAAGCAGCCAGGAAAAAATCGGCAATTTGTTATTGTACGAGGCCGATTGATGTACTGTGTAATTTTGTAATGCATCTTCCTGCATTAGGTGTCTCGGTTTAACTATATCGTTCACTGTTTAGTATATAGGCTCTAATAGAGACTTTTGTTATAAACCATTGCGATAGTGATATTATCTGTTTATACAAGATTACAGGGTTATACCTTTTTAGTATAACATCTCGGAGATTCAGAGCTTAAACATCAGAATTTTGCGGAGATAACCGTGATAATATCCAAACAAAATTTTATCGTTGTATCGGGATTTAATATTGATCAGACTTATGATTTAGATGTGATCATCAAAACGATTCCACGTTTTCAGTAAATTACGACCTTTAAGATGACAAATTGCATAGCTGAAGAACAGCTTGCCTAATTAGTTATTGAACGTGTTTATTGTTTGCATTCAGCCTCGTTTATCCGGATAATAACCAATATAATTTGCACGTTCAGGGACCAATTAACAAAACATAAATAGTATTATAGTATGTATATCCATTCTTAACAGGTGAGTCTGATAAACTGCTCAGCCTATGAAGTTGTTCTTATGTATAGCCACAATGAAAATTTTTAGTACTCATTCAACTTTCATCCTAGATTATCGTCTATACGAAATACTGTATATGGAAATCTATTGTTGGCGCATGATGGAGAACTTTATTAGGTTCGGGTCTTTTAAAATAGCCTATCGCTATTTGAAAGTTAAATCCGTAAGAGATTCAATGTAGCGTTTTAACTTGTAGTAAGTTTGTCTTCGAAATCTTGGCACAAATGGATTATTTGGCTCTATCCTTTATTATTCTGTTAAATCTTCAAGTGATCTTGTTAAGTCTTCAATTGATTTGTTATATTTCACTAAACTATAATGACTAGTCCTCAACACCATAGGAACTCTGCATTATCCGTGTCTATCTTTAATGCTTTATTTTAATCTGTAAGTGAATTTATGTAGTCGTTAAGCATATACAGTTAAATCTCTATATATGCAACTCTATAAATGCACACTTATGGTCGGTCCCAAGGGGTGCATATATGGAGGGTTGACTACACGTAGTAAGTCTGTCCCCGATACCTTAACGTTTCTGCATCATTCGGATTATTATTTAGTGTTCTGGAAATTTTGCAAGTAATTTTTAACTTGTAATATGTTTGTCCTCGAGATCTTATTGAAATTACACTATTCGGATCAATTTTTAAGATTCTTAGTAACGTTTTCCCGAGTGTTTAGTGCAAATGTGTCATCTTCTCAATTGTTAAAAGACTTGTCGTAAGTTTTAGATATTACCTTATTCCTCCGAAAATAAGCACCCCGAGAGTAAGCACACCCTACAAATTCATATATAAAAATAAGGACTTCTTATATAATAGAAATAAGCAATTAAATATCAAGTCAAAAATTATTAGTTGAAATTATACTCGAAAATAAGCAGCCTTATAGCAAAAAAGGGATGCTTATTTTCGTAGGACTACGGTAATATACTTTTCCTCAGGACCTTAACGCGTATGCATATATTGATTTAGATTTAATACTTTCGTTAAATCTATGTAAGATTTCATTATAAAGTTCTAACACATAATATGCTACTCCTCGCAACCTTAGCACAACTGCCTTATTTGAATTAGGTCTTAAAAGATTTGTTTAAATGTGTAAGATATTCTTGGTAGTGTTTTTGCACATATTTCTTTGTTTTTGAGAGTTTAACGTATTTGCATTAGTTGGATCAAATTTAAGTGATCTGTTTAAATCAGCAGAGATTCATTATAGCGTTTATCTGACTCTATTTTAAAGATTCTGTTAAGTCATTAAGTGATTCGCTATATTTTCCTAAAATATAGTTAGCTGATCCTTGAAACATTAGGGACTCTGCATTATTTGGATCAATATTTAAAGCTTTATTTTTAATCTTTAAGTGAATTTTTATAGTCACTTCCTCGATTTTATAATGCATTCATATTTTCTGATTCTATATCTAATAATTTTGTTAAATCCTCAACCGATTCTTCGTATCTGTCAGTTTATAACAAGAATCAATAGAGCAATCATGTTTTTCATCAATTTATCGAATATTTAAGAGACTCTTCATATTTATTTAATCCAAGAATATGTTTTATACCCGGTATCCTAACGTCACTGCATCGTCCAGATTATCATGTAATAACTTAGAAAGAATCTGAAAAGATTCTTCATAGAGTTTAACTTATACTTGTCCTCGAGCCCTTAATGCTAATGCACTATCTTCGAATTTTAATGATGTCATTGGGTCTTCAAGAGATTTTTCGTAATTTCTTAAGCATTAATATACTTGCCCTCGAGATCTTAATGTATATGTATTACACCGATTTGAATTTAATGCCTTCGTTAAATCCTCAAGAAAATTTTCATATTTTCAAGTTATAAAAAGTTAATCTCGAGTTCTTAATGAATTAGGATTAATGATGCTTGACGAATGACGAAATAGTTTCGTCTAGACGAATGACGAAACCGTTTCGTCAGGCAGCTTCCATTAGACGAATGACG